CTGACTTTATCGATCAGGATGTTTAAAGTTGCGGCTATGCGTGTTGGCCTTGGGTTGATCAATTTTTTCCGGTTGCTGTTTGGCCATGCGTGTGGATTTAGGCTTGGCGTGCAAGCAGTTGGTGTTCTGTTTCGTCCCCACGGTAGAGGATGCTGGTAATCCTGCCCCTATTCCGGTGGTTTCGTCACAGTGCCGTCTTCGTCTGCAAATCATGATTCCGTTTGACCGTGTTCTGCCCTTTACTTACGTAATGTCGTAGGTCTTTGTAGGGAGCAGGGTGGTCCAGATGCCTCTTGAAAGAGTTGGCGTCTGAGTACCATGCCTCAAGCGTCAATCTTTCAGCTTTTGAGGCTCCTCGGCCTACGATGGTCGTTCCTTGAATATCGAAGGCCACTCTCCTCGATATGTGTTGCAGCAACTGGCAATTGATGTTGTCAGAGAAATTCTAACTGAACACTACCATAAGAGGGAAAAGCCCCTGAAGTCTGAACATCTGCTCGAATTTCTACGGTTTTGCCTTAAAACCTACTTCACATTTGGAGGACAAAGGTATGAAGAAATTAAAGGCACCCCAGTGGACTCCTCCCTCTCAGGCCTGATTGCTGAAGTGGTCCTCCAACGGATTGAACACTTCGTCTTCACCAAGTATCAACCGAAGTTTTGGGCTCTTTATGTGGATGGGACTTTCATCATTGTCAAAACATCCGATATTGAGCACCTCAAAGAATTACTAAACTCGGTTGACCCAAAAGTTCAATTCACAACGGAAACGAAAAGAAATAACCAACTACCCTTCCTCAATATCCTGGTGCGCCGTTATTCAACTGAACTACTCCAAACCACAGTATTTAGAAAAGCCATCAGCACGAAAAAAATACTCCACTTCAACAGCAATCACCCTCTGTCTCACAAACTTAGCTGCGTTCGTACTCTTTTCCAAAGGGTTGAAAAACATTGCATTAAACAAGTTGACAAAAGAGTGGAATAACAATACTTACATGACCTCTTTCGAGCTAATAGATACCCAAATTCTTTTATTAACCAAAGCACGCGCCAAGTAAAGAGACAACGGGCAGCAAAAGAGCAACCCAAAGTCTGGAGGGCCATTTCCTGCATAAAAGTAGACTCCGAAGCAGTCTCTCGGCGGTTACAACCTGCTGGAGTAGGCATAGCCCATCGACCTCAGGTTACAATACGTCGCCAAGTGATGCAACCCAAAGACGAACTGCCCCCTGCTGAAACCTCCGCAATTGTTTAGAAAATACGTTGCAACAATGAAGGCTGTAATAACGTTGGAGAAACAGGGCGCAAATTGCAGACCCACCTACAGGAACACAAAGCGGCGGCTCGGAGACTAGACGCTAACTCACAGCTTGCAACACATATCGGAGAGACTGGCCAAAACTTCGATATTCACGGAACGACCATTGTAGGCGGAGGAGCCTCAAAAGCTGAAAGATTGACGCTTGAGGCATGGTACTCAGACGC